CTTTAATTTCTCAGCTTCTATAAGCCAAAACATCTTATAATTTGGAATAGAGGGAGATCTAATATCATTCGTGTGCTTGCAGTTTGTATCTCCTATCCTATGGCGCCACCTCGTCTGGGTAAGAAAGGGAAAGGGAAGGCTCCTGCAAGTTCTGCACAAGCTGATCTCCCCGATGCAATTCTTGAGGTAACACTATCTAATCGATGCAACAGTCAAAAGCAGGTTCATCGGGGCGCCATATGTTCTTTCAGACAAGTTCGTGTTAATTCAGTGTCTAATTATTCACAGGAAATACCTGATCCTATCGCCACACTGAATCTGGGCGATCCTGAGAAAATGGCTGAGAGTTATGAGAAGTGTGTGACAGATATAATTGAGTTCATCAAAACAGAATCAGGTAAGGGGTTCACCTTCACAGTCGAGGGAGACCATGAGCATAAGCTTGATCGCTATCTTCCCTTGACCCCTGGTGTGGATGAATCCCCCACTGGTGCCTATACTATTGCCATCACAGATGGCACAAAGACCCTTCGCCTAGTCGCACAAAAGTACCAGACATGGTTGAGAGGATTTGTGACGGACTCAGGTGACAGATACGAAATTGACGGGATGAGCCCAAAAATGATGGTGGGTTCCAGATCCCTCCACACATTCTCAAGGTACTATGCTATGCTTGGCACTACCGCTGACCAGTGCAGGGTTGGTTATCACCTGATAACCGATGCTTTCCATAGCCTGGTGGCCCATCCCAACAGCACGGGAGATTCTGACGGTGCAATAGCCATCATACTGGTGATGTTGTATGTGGCACCACGATTCCCAGCTGTGTACCAAAAGTGTCTGCAATTCATCAGGGAGATGAAGAATGGCTTTGTAGGCAATCTCCAGCAACTGATCAACAGCTGGTGCAGAAAGTGCCTTAATTTCTACAAAGAGAACCGAGAACAAGAGACTATTGTTTTGACTGAGGAAAGCAGTACAGTGATCAAGGAAATAGCACAAGAGTTTAGCATCCTCTGCAGGTCAGCATGGGACAGGTGGCTAGAAGAGGATGACAAGGAGGACACAAGAGGCGGAGGCGGATCCAAACCTAAGAAGACTGTCGGCGCGAGCGGCAGCAGCCATAGCAAGTGAAAAACAGTGGCGATAGATGATGGTGCAATGAGTGCTGAGTCTTTTCTAATGTTAATATTATATAATGATGGTGCAATGAGTGCTGAGTTATTGCTTCTCGTGTTAATATTTATATTTAGGGTAAAGTCTAATTTACAACCTTCAACTCTCGCTAAAGTCCGGATTTCAACCTCGAACTCCAAAACCGGATAACTTTGGCCCTCGAACTCTTGAATTCGTTCACTTTTCAACCCTGGGCCGGTTTCAGGCGGTTTCAACCCTGGGCTGTTCATCCGCCAAAACCGCCCGAAACCGGTCCAGGGTTGAAAAGTGAACGGTTTCAAGAGTTCGAGGGCCAAAGTTATCCGGTTTTGGAGTTTGAGGTTGAAATCTGGACTTTGGCGAGAGTTGAAGGTTGTAAATCGGACTTTACCCTTATATTTATTATACATGTCGAACTGGTTCCTTTGTAATGAGGCCACGTCATGAACTTTGTTTACGTATATATATGCTGTGATCATCTAAACTAGCTAGCGAAGTGGTCCATGCGAATTGTGCGGTTAGCGTGTAGTTCAACCTTATTATTTCATCATTAACGTTTTTATCAAAGTATCTGTGATTTGCATATTGCTCTTATATATGTTTGGCTAACACCACGATGTCAATATATGAAGTGTCTAGTGCAGCAGGTAGCCTGGATCCTCTCATGCCACTCAACATTATATCATGTCCAGTAGTAGATGGCTTGGTTTCAAAAAAAAAAAAGTACTACATGGCTTCTTCATTGACATTATCTCGTGTTGTTCTATCATCACCTATGTTGACAAAACTTACTTTATTGTCTGACTAAGAGCATCTCCAACATATTACTTGTCTCATTTTCAATACTATAAAACTGTTGTGAGGCTAAAAAACATGCTCCAGCAGATACCCTTCCCAATCTCTTGTTCTTAAAAATATTCTCAATCATTCAAAATCCTCCTCAATCCCACAAACAAAGAGAACGAGCATGAGTTTTTCTCATCCCTTTTCTTTCTTCATCTCTCACTAACGTCTTAGGCCCACACCATCAAGGCAAGCGGTGTGCCGGAGCCCGAGAATGCATGCCGCACTAGCCGCCGCGCCGCCCACGAACGAGCTGTGTCAGGCCCGACTGGGCTTTGCCGTGTCGGAAGTCAAACTAGAGGACGGGTACGCCCATGGGAGGGCGCCAAGAGCGAGCGAGAGAGAGAGAGAGAGAGAGAGAGAGAGAGAGAGAGAGAGAGAGAGAGAATGGTAATGGAGAGAAAAAGAGGATGGGTTTTTTCGTTCGGATGTAGCAACACTCCCCTAAAAACATAAATCAGGTTTTCTCAATCCCATATAGTGAATTTTAAGGCAATGGGGATCTGGAGAAGTTGCTTTTAGCACCTTAGCACTACCCATAATCTTTCTTTTTTTAAGACCAGAGAGCAACAGCGTACTCCCCTCTATCCCATAATAAACGCACATCTCACATTATGATAACTCAAACTTTTAAAATTGATTAGAATTATATAAAAATATAATAATATCTATTTCTATGACATATAATAAGTATAATTGGATTAAGCATGTATTATATTTTTATTATAAACTTATTTAGAGATAAAAATATTGAAACTATTTTCTATACTCCTAGTTAAATTTTAAAGAATTTTGATTGTTCGAGAAATGATGTAATGCATTTATTTTGGAACTGAGAGAGTACTTTAAAGTGGGATGCTGCCACACTGATCATCCGGAGACTACGGATCAAGACTGGAGACGAAAAGTAGGCATGACTAGATACTCACTCCGTCCTGAAATAAATGCACATCTCTCTTGTCGAGGAGTTAAACTTTCTTAATTTTTGACTAGAAATCTGATAGATTTAGTACTAAAAAGTTTGTCAACAAATAAATAGCAAAAGTATAAAAACATTTACTCCTCGAAAAGCAAAAGCGAGAGGTACATTTATTTAAAGACGGCGGCAGTATAGACGTCTCTTTGGTGCACTGGTCTCCCTCTCTAGACCTTTTTTTTCTCATCCATGCCCCTGCGCTTGGATTTGGTTCGAGTTCGTGTGCAGTGCTCACCTTTGCCATGTTACACCATGCATACGTCTTTTGCTTTTTAATTGACGTGCGTCTTGTCAGTGACATCCTTTGTTTTTAATTACATTCCAAATTATATGTTATTTTTGCTTTTCTAAATATCTACCCCAAAATAAATGCACATCTCACTTCCTAAGGAGTTAAATCTTTTAAATTTTAACAAAATATGTATAAAAATATACTAATATTTATGATATATAATAAATATTACCCTCTTTGTTCCATATTATAAGATATTTTGACTTTTCTAGATACATAAATTTTGCACGTATATAGATATATACTATGTCTAGATACATAATAAAAGCAATGTATGAAAATGCCAAAATCTCTTAGGATTTAGAATGGAGTATTAGATTGAGCATGGAATACACACTTTTATACTAAATTTATTTGGAGATATAAATGTTGATAATATTTTCTATGTTGGTACACTTTTATACAACTGTTTATATATTTTAATATTAGGTTTCAACTAAATACATATCACACTAGAAAAAAATAAATACTAGAAATTCTAATTAGAGTTTCATAATGGAGCCTCCAGGTTAATCCTCACGAGACACGCTAGGAAAACAAAAGGTAGATCCTAGAAATTCTCACAAAAATTTAAAACACTTGACCATCAATTCGGTATAACCTAATCACCATGAATAATAATAGCTATTGGATCTACTCTATTTTCTAATTGATATTGCGTAAAACAACATAAAGTAACACATGACTCTGCATTTAAACTACCGACATATGCCAATAAGAAAACATGATCTAAGGTATACCTAAATTTGCATCTAGTTACCCACGTACTCTTATTACAATAGATAATTTACATAGCCAAACTTTTATCTTATCATTTGAAAAAATAAATGTCCTCTCAAATCTACATATAAGAGTTATCAACATATTCTACAAAAAATTGTTTAAATAACCATATAGCATGTATGTTTCTACATTACCCACTTCTATCAATATTAATATATTAAGATTTGATTATTAAAGTAAGCAAACACGTTGTGTCAGCATGCAAGAGTGATAAATATATATGTTTTGATTCAAAAAAAATTCTTAAAAACTTATATACTAATTATACTAACAATGCAAATTTTTTAAAATCATATTAGTAACCATAACATATAATTTATATAGGTTGTTGCTTTAAATATATTTATATATTTTAACTTAATATTTGACACATTTATATTGATATTATAACCATAACTGGCTTGAACTACTTTAGCATTACTTTTCAGCGAAAAAACAATGTTTACCTCTCACAACAAATCGATATAAACATCAGCATAAGCCAAATTTCAGCAAATCGAACAGTTTTTAAATAATTGGTTGTACAAAGTAACTTTGGTCACGTTGAGGAGCAAAGCTGTCTTTTCCTGTGCCACTAAACACCGTTGGTACTGGGGGTCTCCTGCAATTCGCCTCTCCCTCTCCCCTCTCCCCAGTCCCCACGACGTGTTGGGGCATCTCTCTTCTCCGCTCGTGATTTTGCTATTAAATTGTTTAATTTAGTGGACAGCCGATCACCCTGCTAGTACCGGGGTGAGTAACACCAAGATGAATCCGACCACCAGGTCTTAACCAAGGCTAGTTACCATGACCCCAGATCAAGATTGTCTACTCTTCTCACCAGGTGCCCCAAATTATCTTCACATATTATGAACCAGAAAAAAAAAAGTCACGGAGCAAAACTGAGATTACATGGGGGAAGTTGATTTCTTTTTAGCAGACCCTACACAGGAAAGCAAAACCAGATAGAACTTAAAACTGAACACACAAGGAAAGAACAAAAAACTTAATATATGCATGCAAAGGGAAGAACATCAGAAAGACTAGTAGATACTTGGCATGCCAACAATATATGCTCCACGATATGAATGAACGGCAAGTAATTAGGTTACACCGTTACACAACCAAAGACCTCGTTTATACTTAATTAACACGCGACATAGCTGACATTACTAAATTAATTTTTTTTTCATCAGCCAGGTTTTTTTGCTGTACGATCTCCAAGTGACCTTGACTGAAAATGCTGCAAACACCCCCAGGTCAGCAACTTCTTCATTTGTCCCATGGTAGCCAGAGTAGAAACCACAGTGCCAGCACAGGGTAGCATCATCGCTCCGAGACCCCTCAATGTACAGATCAAGGTGGTTGTGCCTCTCCACCCCTACAGCGAATCTCATCATGCCACTTGGCTCAGGAGCGACGCCTTGGAATAGAGGAATTATGTCATTGAAGCCACTAGTCTTGGCAAATAGTTTCATGTTGCCACCACCAGGAATAATGGTGTCGAGGTGGAGGACTGTGACTTCAACCAGGGCCTCCACCGCATTGATCATCACTATATACTTGATGTCCAGAGCACACCTTTCACCATAAAAGCGCCGGTGATCAATGAACGATTTTGACTCAAAAAGTTATCGATCTCGGTGCATCCTTCAATGATCAAGTCGTCATCAGCATTGGTCTCATCTTCATTTCGGGCATGGATCTCAAACTCGATCAACGAGTGACTAATCATTGAAATGACTCGAGCAGGGCCAGTTGGTGACAACCTTGCAACACCCTGCAAACAAATCATGTCACAAATTTGAACTTTTTATCAGTTAATAGCCGAGGAATATTCCTGTCCATATGTCCATAGATTGCATGCATATACTGCGAACAAAGGAGACAATTTAGTTTTGACAATATTACATGATTTTTTTTCTCGAAAAATATTACATGAAATCTTTTACAGTATGTCACTAAGTTGTCTAATAAAGCTGGGCCGAAGCCTTTGATCTAAAAATACTTGAAATCCTACAACATTGAATTCAGATGACAGATAAGTATAACAAATGTATAGAAGTTGCCTACATTTGCAACTGCCAGTTTCTAATAGATACGCCCACTGATTTCTAAAGGAGCATAAACATGTAGATGTGGCAAGTTTGGAAAACAAATCACCATGCGGTTTCTTAGTTTCTTTACCAAGCGACAATAATATATTTACTAAGTTTATGCCTAAATCAGGACGTCGCAAATGAATGGCAGTCAAATGAGAGCAGGCAAGACAAATGCAGTTTGCAATATGAATTACCACATTTACTTTCACATATATTGTTAGTTAGAATATGAAAATCAAAGTTGTTACATCAGGGATTCAGATCAGCATCACATAGTTACAAAAATAAAGCCTTAATCTAGAGATGGCAAAATCAAGCTTTAGCATGATGCTAGTCTTTAAAATTGACAAAATGGTGTAAAGACAACTGCAAGCCTATAGAGTGTGGACAAACATATTTACCGTTTTTTGCTTCACAGGTACACTTTCACAATTTTCTATCTCACGACAGTAGACATAGTTGCGCAAGGGGTTTTCTGGTTCCCGTGCTGCAATGAAACCATACATCTTGACCCGTCCAGGATGTGTATGTCGATACCCAGCAATCTTGATATCAACAAATTGAAGCACACCCATTGGATAACAATAGCATTCATTTGGACAATCCCCAACACTATCGAGACTGACTACAAAATGAATAACAGAAGCATATTTAGGATTAGTTCATTACTACATTATGCACAATAAACAGTACCCCAATGGGAGGGGGCATGAGAAGGACAACATACTTTGAGATTTATCAGCAAGATTATACTCTGAACCAAAGATATGTTTGCCAGATTTGAATGCAGGAAAGAGCCTTATTGGTAAAGGCCCTCGAACCTTAGTTTCTGGATTTTTATGCAAAACATCAGTCTGCTGCTTATGGTCACAACTGGGCCGTGGGATATCATCAACCGTAAAAGGTCGGTATATCCCTGCATTGAAAAAGAACTGAAATCAGTAATAGAAAAAAATGGTCTATGGAGGTTAATGAAAGCTTCATATGCTCTGTTCATTGACATGATGGGTATTGTGGAGAATGAAATAAAAATACATGCAAAAACATCCATATGCGTATCAGGTAAGTATCGTATTCATTGAGTATCCAGATTAAAATAAACATTAATAATTAAGGATAAACTAGACAATTCGGATACAGCCCAGCCTAGTAAGGGTAAATAACCTCCTCCATGTGCCATTTCCTGAATCCACACCCTACTCTCACATGACCACTTGCTTCCTAGTGCCCAGTGACTAATTAAGCCACCTCCTACTCGGGGAGGCCACCTCCAGCACCGGCTATGAATATGATTATGGGCTTTTAATCTTATTGCAAGTTATTATACATCCTTAAATATGTCTAGAATTTATATTTTTATTCATAGAACTTGTAGAGCCTGATCGCAGTTAACTGTTGGTTTTATGGGGAATTAGATTCTTCCTCGCATTTGAAATGCGCAGATTCTGCAGAACACAGGTAGGAGATGGAAACAGCCACTCCCACTAGAACTTGGGTTCCCTTCGAAATTCCCATTAGAAATTAAGAATATTGTGTTAACAACGAAAACAGACATTCCACAAAAGAGGAAAACTAAAGAGTTTTTTTTTTCCTGTTAAGTTTGGCATTATTATCAAACTAATTTAGCAGATCCGCCCGAGAAAAAGAGAGGAAAAGGTTGCAGTAAGTTGTGGGTGATTTGGGTTTTACCTTTGTCCTCCTGATCCTCATCCTCGTCGCTGTCGCTAAGCAGCCATTCGCCGTCGGATAAATCCTCATCGTCGCTCAGAGCGAGAGGCGAAGGCGATCGCTTCCTGCCGCGTTCAGCAACAGGTGTCGCGGTCAATCCGCCTCCCTCAGTCGCCATTGGTTTAACCTCGCTCTCACTGGGCCGTAGATGAAGAGGAGGAGCCGCGGAGTAACTCATCTGTGGCAAAATCTCTTCTCAGCCCGTATGCTCCGGCGGGTTAGGCGGCGGCGGGGAGAGAGGAATGCGCCCGTCGGGCTGGAGGGGTGGAGACGATAGACCGACCGATCTGTGGAATAGATGAGGACGGCGCAATTTGGTTTATGACGCCAGTGACCAAGCCAAAATTTGGCCGTGCCGAGGAATTTTTGGTTTTTTTTGAACTTATTTTTGGTGGCAGCTTGGTTGAAGGCCAAAGTTTCGCCAGCGCAAAAACGATTATGCGGTTTGGACAAACAATATCTCAACCCTAAAATAAAAGATATGTTGTCTCGAATCTGAAGAATTCCCGTCCGTCCGATTCCCATGTCGTCTCCGTCTCTCTCCAAAAAAAAATCTCAAAAAATAGCGCCACGTGAGGCACTCGATCATGAAACCTCGTGTTTATATTAACGGTAAGGTAGCGTCCGGACGTCCGGATGGTTGCGCGTGATACGACCCCTCGCGGCTGCAGCAGGTGGATCACATTGCAATATATGTAACATCCGTTCTACTTTTGAAACCAGATGCAACAATTGTAACATACGTCTGAAGACGGATGAAACATGTGTCTGAAATATTCGAAAAAAATTGAAAAAAATTTGAAAACCATTGCAAACATACGCAACATCACGATAAAAATTGCAACGTACATGTGAAACATATACAATATTCAGATAAACCCACTTGTAGCATACGCTGAAAAATAGATGAAACATTAGGAACAGACGTTTGTAACGTACGTGTATAACCATTGCAACATATGCAATATCCCGATCTACTTTTGCACATACATAACAAACACTTGCAATATACCTCTGAAATATCTGAAACATTTAAAACATATACTTGCAACGACATGCGCTTTCAGCGTAACATCTATTTGCTGCCTTGGATGAATGGAGGCTCGTCGACGTGGACCTCGACATCGGCGCGGAGCTCGATGCCTCAGAGTGGCGCGTAGCTCGGTGGAGAAGGCCGCTCCATTGGAGAGGGTGGCCGACGCGGTGGAGAACGCCGTGGTGGGCGGATCGAGCGGTGGAGAGGAAGGATGGCGGCGGCAACGTTGGAGCGCAGTGGAGAGAAAGGACGGTGGCAGGTCGATGCATACACAAGTAAAGAGTGTTGGGTTCACGAGTGGATATGGTTTGAGGCGAGTGGACGAACGCATACGCAAGTAGAGAGTGTTGGGCTGTTGAGCTAGTGTTGTGGCCCACTAATGGGAACATCCGGACGGACGGACATCCTTAGCACAGCATTACTGTTTCATTAATTTTTAAGAAAACGACATCAATACATCAAGCTAACAAACTTTCCTTTGTTTCATCACTCTCTCCGTTGTTCTTTTTTTTTATAAAAAATCTCAAAAAGTGGTGCTACGTAGGGCCTCAAATACAAGACCTCATGTTTGAGAAAGCACTTTCGTACCAACTAGAATCAACCGAGCACACAACGTCCTGATCCCCGATGTACCTCTGCTGTGGATATCGTTACCATCCCGCCTCACGTGCCTCGGTGCTCCTCGCCCACCTTTATCCTGCTGTGCTGCTGGTAGCTGTGGAAGCACCGCAACACGCTGCCTACCTCAACTTCGACTAGCTTGCAAGGAAAATGCGAGACTCTAGGGGCACCGCCTCCCTCGTGGTATGCGGCATGTCTCGAACTCATGGTGTACAATCTTCTCAATGTAATAGCGAATTCTCCTCCTCTCTGTAGCCTTCCAACCCACTCTCTCTCTCTCTCTCTCTCTCCAAATATAGAAGTCGTTATGGAATGCGTACATGTCAAACTTTCTCAACTTTAACTAGATTTGTAGAAAATACATACGTACAACATTTATATCTTTAAATAAGTTTATTATGAAAGTATATTCAACGGTCTATCTAATGATAGTAATTATGTATTATAATTATTAATATTTTTTATACATTTGGTCAAAATTAAAAATATTTGACTTCTCGGAAAGTAAGAATGACTTCTAATAGAACGGATGGAATAGAACACGCCTCTAACGAAAACTGACTATGGTGAACACCATAGTCCAACACTGGCTTGCCCGAAATCAATGGAAAAATCATTCATGTGGAGCCTCTCAGCTCCCTCTGTTCTTTTAAAAAATGGAAACGCTGCAACCCGAGCGTCCGACGCTCCCAAAAATATCAGACCGACTCTAGCATCATCTCATCACTCATTCTCTACGTTAATTCTTATCCGCTCATTTCCTAGCCTCCACCGACACCGTCCCTGCTCTGCCTCTTCTTCGTACTTGCATCCGCTCGCCCAACTCAATGTCGCCATGCCCCTTCCCCTACTGCACCACGTCCCTCGCCACGACATGCGCTTCCCCCCACCGCGCCATGCCCTAACCCCTGCTGCACCCTACTCCACCTCCCCGGTCACAGCTGCGGCGTCACCGGGCCACCACTAACCCGGTACCAGGTCGTCGTCGGCCTAGACATCGTCTTCCGCAGCCAGCCGAAGACACCATGGTAGGAAGGGAAGTCTGGTAGCCGAGGTGTATGCTGGGCCATTGTTCTTGATGTCCTCCTGATCCGAGCTTGCTGGCTACTGCAGTTACCCACTAGGTAGACCATGGGCGCGGCAACACTGTGTTTAAGTGTTTCAAGCGTTTTTAGACATGTTGCAAGCCTATGTTTTTAAGTGTTTCAGTTGTTTCAGATATAGGCAAGTGTTTCATATGGATATTGCAAAAGTAGATCGGAATGTTGCATATGTTGCAGTGGTTGCACGCGTATGTTGTAAGCGTCTGTTCTCAATGTTTCATATGTTTTTCATATGCATGTTGCAAGTGTATTTATCTGGATGTTGCACATGTTTCACACATATGTTGCAAGTATTTTATCTGGATGTTGCGTATGTTTGCAATGATTTCAAGTGTTTGCCAGTGTTTTTCAACTTTTTCAGACGTATGTTGCAAGTGTTTTAGCTGTTTCCGACGTATGTTGCATGTGTTTCATCTAGATGTTGTAAAAGTAGATCAAGACGTTGCACATGTTACGAGCAGACACGGGAAGCGGACGCAGGCAGAGGCGGTCAGGCTACCTTTCCCAAAGGCGGTCAAGTATCGCGCGAAGGACGCTCTCGAGCTCGTCCACGGCGACCTCTGCGGGCCGATCACGCCAGCTACAAACGGTGGTCGACGGTACTTCCTCCTGCTCGTGGATGATTGCAGTCGCTACATGTGGCTGCAACTCCCGACGAGCAAGGACGAAGCAGCGGCGGCGATCAAGAAGTTCAAGATGCGAGCGGAGGCCAAGAGCGGCAAGAAGCTCCGTGTGCTGAGGACTGGTTGTGGCGGTGAATTCACTTCGGTGGAGTTTGCTGCGTACTACGCGGATCAGGGTGTAGGGCAACACCACACCGCGCCGTATTCGCCACAACAGAATGGCATGGTGGAGAGGCGGAACCAGACGATGGTCGGCATGGCTCGATCCATGATGAAAGCCAAAGGCATGCCGGCAAGGTTCTAGGGTGAGGCAGTGACCACGACGGTGTTCATCCTCAACCGCGCTCCGACCAAGGCCCTGACGGGCAAAACGCCGTTCGAAGCTTGGTATGGGCGCAAGCCGAGCGTGCCCTTCCTTCGGATATTCAGCTGCATCAGCCACGTCAGGAAGACGAAGCCGAACCTCACCAAGCTGGAGGACAGGAGCACACCAATGGTGTTCCTGGGCTACGTGGAGGGTACCAAGGTGTACCGGCTCTACGACCCACATGGAGACAAGGTGCTTGTCTCGTGCGACGTCGTGTTCGACGAGAAGGCGGCTTGGGACTAGACCAGTCCAAGCACGGGGGAAGCAGGCGGCTTCACCAGCACCTTCATCGTCGAGCACTTGGTCATCCACGGTGGTGGAGACGCTGGGGAGGAGGTGCCAAGCACTTCGACGGCAGAGCCGAGCACTCCCGGGGCAGTGCCGAGCACTTCGAGAGGGATGCCGAGCACTCTGGGAGGAGTACCGAGCACTCTTGAAGGGATGCCGATCACGCCAGGAGTGGTGCGGGAGGTTCTATAGTGGTGGCGACCACTCTAGGACGAGTGCCGAGCACATCCCGTGGCGGAGCCAAGACGTCTTGCAGATGATGCCGACCACTCTAAGACTGAGGCTGAGCACTCCTACAGTGGTGCCGAGCACTGCAGGAGTAATGACGAGCTATCTAGAAGTAGTGCCAAGCACTGCAACCAGGGTGCCGAGCACTCCAGGTGCTATGCCGAGTACTCCGGCGGAACAGGGAACTCCATCGACGCCGATTGAGTTTGCCTCACCTCCCGGTGACATCACTGAGTTCATGGATGCCTTCCATGAAAGTGAGGAGGTGTGGTTCCACAGGATGGATGACATTGTTAGTGGAACAGGGCCCTCAGGACTAGTGGGTAGGATGCTCAATGATGCTGAGCTGCTGCTTGTCAGTGCAGAGGAACCACCCACGTTCGTGCTTGCCGAGCGGGACGAAAACTAGCGACGGGCGATGCTGGAGGAGATGAAGGCGATCGAGAAAATGAGACTTGGCAGCTCGTCGATCCACCTCGAGGATGCCGTCCGATCAACCTAAAGTGGGTGTACAAGGTCAAACGGGACGAGCTTGGCGCCATTGTCAAGCACAAGGCGCGCCTTGTCGCCCAAGGCTTTGTTCAGCGTGAGGGCATAGACTTCGAGGAGGTCTTTGCGCCAGTAGCACTCATGGAGTCCGTTCGTTTGCTACTAGCCTTGGCAGTAGCAAAGGACTAGCACGTCCATTACTTTGACGTTAAATCGGCCTTCCTCAACGGTGAGCTGGCGGAGACGGTCTTCATCGGCAACCTCTAGGTTTCACCGTCAAGGGAGAGGAGCACAGGATGCTCCGACTGTGCAAGGCGCTCTACGGGCTGCGGTAGGCCCCACGAGCATGGAACGCCAAGCTTGACGCCACGCTGGGCGAGCTTGGGTTTCAGCGGTGCGCAACCGAGCACGCGCTCTACACGCGGCGACAGGGGAAGGAGGAGCTCGTCGTCGGTGTGTATGTGGACGACTTGATCGTCATCGGCGCGCGCACAGAGGACATCAACGGCTTCAAGCGCGAGATGGCGGCTCGTTTTCGAATGAGCGATCTCGGCGCACTCTCTTACTACCTCGACATCGAGGTGAGACAAGTGAAGGAGGAACTCACGCTCGGTCAGAGCGCGTATGCCTTCAAGCTGTTGGAGCGGAGCGGCATGGCTGAGTGCAAGCCATGCGTAACTCCGATGGAGGAGCGGCTGAAGCTGACGAAGGCTAGCACTGCGGTGAAGGTGGATACAACACTCTACCAGAGCATCGTCGGCGGTCTGCGCTACCTAGTCCAGAAGAGGCCGGACATTGCGTTCGCCGTGGGCTACGTCAGTCGCTTCATGGAGGATCCCAGAGATGATCACTAGGCTGCGATGAAGCGGCTACTGCGCTACGTCAAGGGGACGGTAGATCAAGGGATCATCTTTCCCAAGACCGGCGAGAGTAGGCTGCAGCTCACTATGTTCAGCGATGCAGACATGGCGGGGGACATCGACGGACGACGGAGCACCTCTGACGTGCTCGTCTTCCTCGGGTCTGCTCTAATTTCATGGCTGTCGCTGAAACAGAAGGTGGTGGCGTTGTCTACGTGCGAGGCAGAGTACGTAGCGGCGGCCACAGCGGCGTGCCAAGTTGTGTGGCTGCGCCGGCTGCTGGGCGAGCTGATCGGCGTGGAAGCTCATCGACCAACACTGATGGTGGACAACCAGCCCGCCATCGTCCTCGCGAAGAATCCAATTCTGCATGACCGGAGTAAATACATCGACATGAAGTTCCACTTCCTCACGGACCGTGTCGATGGAGGACAGATCATCATCGAGTTCGTCAAAACTGGTCGGCAACTCGCGGATGTACTCACCAAGCCGAGATGACGTCTTCGACTCATGGAGCTGAAGGAGATGATCGACATGGAGGGGGTACAAGGGATAGCAGTAGGTTTAGGGGAAGAATTGTTAGAATAAACTACTGCTTTCCTTGTGTGAACACAGTAAGGGAAGGCGGCACCGAAAATGCCCCCTGCTGTGATACTGTAGCCGCTGCAGATGCAGGCGTCGCTTGGCTCACCTGCAGCACTGTAGTCACCTGCAGAGGCCGGCGCAGAGTCAGCACTGTATGTTATCTGGTTACTGTTGCAGCAGGACAGCTATACTGGGACTAGATGGATAGAGTTGTATAAATAGACTACCACGGCAACTCAGTAAAGAGAGTTCAGATGTGCCATCTCCCATACAGGGCTTCGGTCAACGCTGATGTCTTGTACTGTGTGTGTATGCTCTGTTCTCCCTCTTCTTCAACCTCTAGCTATAGTGTGTGGGGACGGACAACGTCTGTTCGTGGTCGGCAACACTAGCGGGTGCTCGGCAACACTAGCGGGTGCTCGGCAAGACTGGTGAGTGGTTCACTCACCTGAGCCGGTGATCCTGTGGGCCAACACTTATCTAAGAGCAATTCACTCCTTACTCTAACATATTTTTTGAAAACCAAAATTGTTTGATGTAGGAGCATGTTTCACTTTTATTTTCCTTGTACACATCCTGTGTTAGGTATCAGAAGATGGATTCCCCTCTACTATTAATAACTGATAAAAGAATTCAAATATATGACTGACTTTGTTGCAGGGCACGGCACGTTTGTCTCTGAAGAGCCCTACTCGAGTCATTTCAATGTCAACCCGTGCATTGATCGAGTTTGAGCTCCATGCCCAGAGCGTGAAGAGGAGGCAAATGGTGATGATGGTCCAATCATTGAAGGATGCACTGTATGAATCAAGGTCGTTCATTGAACACCAGCGCCTGTACGCTCTGGACATCAAGTACCTGGTACTGATGAATGCAGTGGACGCCCGGGTTGAAGTTACAGTCCTCCGCTCCGCTGCCATTGATGACGTCGTCAACATGAAGCTGCTCGCCAAGACCAGCGGCTTCAGTGAGGTGATCCGGCTTTTTCGTGGCGTGGCTCCAAAGCTGGGTTTCATGACGAGCTTTGTTATAGCGGTGGAGAGACACAGCGACTTTGATCTCTACATCAAAGGGTATCCAAGAGTCCATCCTAACGCCGACCAGAAACTAGTGCCGTGTTCACGGTGGCAATGTACGTAGCTTCGCCTCTGGGTACCATGGGACGGATGAAGAAGTGGCAGAGCTAGGGGACTTTGGAGCGGTCTCAGTCAAGGTCACTTGGAGATCCCACAGGAAGAATAGGCTTGGTATCCGGTAGCCAAAACATTTGATTTACCAACTTCATTATGTTCCAGTGAAATGTGTCATTCCTAAAGGGCAGATGTACCTAGTTGCTTTTTACCGATACCTTCATATGGTAGCTTATTGTCGTCTGTGTGTCCTGTATGTGTTTTTCAATTTCATCTGGTTTGGTTTCCGGCCCAGATTATTCTGGCTGGATCTTATCGAATGTTCATATGAATGTCCTTGTTCCAGCATGCCTGACCCAGACGAAAACTCGTGAAATGATGTCATCAGACAGCAGCACGAAGTTCTGTTATGTCTTATCTGTAGCAAGCATATACAGATAAGTTGTAGCCAAATCTAACATAAAAGGGTACGGTTCAATATGCATTCTGTAAGGCTCGAAGAAATTGAAACAAGCATCGAAAAGACATCATGAGAAGAAGCCACAAAACTGTTAACATTCCTTTTCTCACAATAATTCGACACTACATGCTATATCTTAAAAAGCAATGGTGTATAGTGCAGTGGCCTATTGATCCACAGAAAACAGAAGTTTTTGAGCGTTAACAAGTACGAACACGGTCACACAGGGCATTGAGTTTCAGAGGAAGCAAAAACATTGTACAATAGTTCCCCAAAAAATACAAAATTATGTCACCTTCAGGTATTTCAATCGCAGATCTTCAACCAATATATTTTACATGACTCTAAAATATCTCATCTTCATGTTCAATTTGTAGAATCCATTAGCACAATAATTCTCTATGTGTGTTAAACTTATGCTATCAAGAATTGGGAGGAGGAAAGGGAGGGTGATGGGAGGCACCTTATGGGGGGCTAGGTGACGATTCCGGTGGTCGGGGTAATTGTCGGTGCTTGTGGCTCCATGCACATTGGTTGCAGCATCCATTCGAATGAAAACAAAAGAGAGATAGAGGACGACAAACAAATGAAACGGCGCAAGCCCCAATAATTGGCCTTTCCTAGAAGGATGTACCTATAATGCAAAGCCACACACCTTATAAACACAAAAGAAATGATTAGGATAGAAATAATGTTAGAAATATTTTGGCAGTCCCTATTGTGAGCGGCCTCCGCCACCGCCCACCATAGGCCCTTCATGCCGCCCTCCAATCTACTAACCAAGGAGGCGAGTTGCCGCTATCGACCACACCTGATCCCACACGGCTCTAGGGGCAAACCATCGCTAGCCTCTTCCGACACCAACACAAACTACTTCAAATCTCAACCCCCCCTCATGCCGCCTCTTCAACTACAAGTGAACCAGCCTCCCAGAGATCACTTTATATGCGGTCCCTAACCACAAGAACCCTGGCCATGACATGCTTAAATCTAGAGGAGTAGGACAATCTACCTCATGAGGGAGTGAGAAAACCGTGTTGCAAGCTGTTATTGATAGGAAGCGAATATAAGGTTGAGCTGACGCCGCAGGATTTGTTTTGTTCCTATCAACAGCGCAGAGGTGTGCTGGCATGACAACTAACGCATGCATATTTGGCAAGTAGTCTTAACAAAAAAAAAATCACAATATAAACGCATACGCTTTAACATTTAATTTGGCAATTAAGATCATATATTAAACAACATACTATAGTTCACATGTATATAATATATGGGTTCACGATAATATTGTACCAAACTCCAATCCGCTTTTTACAATACAACCATTAGCATGACCAAGCAGATGCTATATATCCAGGTATGCATACCATCATGCCCCACATTACTAAGACCAAATGACAGACATATACCACATATGCAATGATACGGTGCATATACTAGTACATGCATACACACATAGCTCACTAGTGGAGGGACGGGCTTTACTCCCGGTGGAGAACCCCCTGTAGTCCCGGTTCCCCACCCGGGAGCAAGCATCCGGGACCTTTAGTCCCGGGTCAGGAACCGGGACTAAAGGGGAGGGGACCTTTAGTCCCGGTGCATAACACCAACCGGGACTAAAGGTTCTCCCAGCTTTAAAAAAAATAATGCCTCCCACCGCTGCGTCCCGTGAGATTCGAACCCAAGACCTCATGCATTGCCTCGCGCGTAGCTTACCACCCCACCTACACAACACATCTAACAATGGATGGGATGCTTCCCTTTTCAACTAACTCATCGGAGGACCTTTAGTCCCGGTTGGTGTTACCAACCGGAACTAAAGGGTCTACCTTTAGTCCCGGTTGGTAACACCAACCCGGACTAAGGGGACCTTCCCAGTTGGTGTTACCAACCGGGACTAAAGGTCCCCTGCCACTGTGCCGAGCGCAGTAGCCGTTGGGCAGGGACCTTTAGTCCCGGTTGGAGACACCAACCGGGACTAAAGGTCTCTCTAGTCCCAGGAGCAAAAAATGTCGGGACTATAGCCTATTTTAGCCTCGGATGAAAGGTCTGTTCTCTACTATCGACTAACTAGTTATTACGGAAACATATAAACCATGCATTATTTCACAAAATGCAATGCAGATGATATAGATATAACATTCATATTTATGCGAATTCATAACTTTGCCTCCTCCCTCCACGTTCACTTCTTTTAGTACTTCCATGGGCCAGTCACGGACATCATTGACGAGATCTCAGCGGCATTAGCCTGCTCATCCTTTTGCGACACCATCGAGGACGGCCTACTCTCCGGCGCAGCAACATCGAAGCCCCCAGTGCTAGCTGCTCCCATGTCCATGTGGCCAGCTATAGCCTCCATGCCCATCTGGCCAGCTACTGCCCCCATGTCCATTTGGTGGTAGAAGTTCATCGGCGGTGGCGCGGCCATCGGATTGCCTAACAGGGCGCCATTGATCTCGAGCCCGCCGGCACCACCAATACCTGCCATAGGCGGCATCCCCACACCGTCGTTGGGGTAGTAGGGGGCCACCGGGTCCATGGCGAAGTCTGACAGGATGGGAAATTGCATGGCCATGGGCACGGGCAGTGGCAGCTGCAGCAGCATGGGGATGGGGATGGCCAAGATGTTGTTTTGATTCTGATCAATCTCAGCGCCAGCCATGGCCACCTGGTACACTGGTGCAGTCGTCTTCTTGATCCTAGTGGTTTTGTCAAACACACGACAGACCACCCACTCATTCTGTGAGAATTTCATTTGTAAATCAGGAGCAAAATCAGATTAGGCTAAGCAAATAAAGAAAATAGTATACGGATGCATGCATCATGCCGGTGTTGTTACCGCTACCACGCACCTTGTCAATAGAAGCTGAAGCTTTCATGGCCGCAACGGTGTTAGCGACTGAGCTAGATGCGGATGCAGGGCTGAGGAGCTTGCCGCTGCCTTCGAGTCTGTACTCATGCATCACCCAGTTGGTTTTATCACCCCTAGGAGCCCTGCCCTCGTAGAAGACGAGCGTCTTCTTCATGCCGACTAGCAGCACCACCCCTTTTGTGGTGTTGTAGACCTCCTTGTCTCTTCCTGTTGCTTTCCAATAACCGGTCTTTGTGGCCCAGTTCGCCCTCAGCCCCGTCGGGTACTTTGGTCCTTCTGATAGAAGAAGTACCACTCTCTCTCCCCATTTTGCTTCATCTGCAGCATGCGAATCAAGTGCCATATATTAGTCGATGACTAGCATAGCAGCATGCATCCACTACACGGATCAAACAAGAACAAGGAGTATATGTATGTAGGTCGAGGCTGCTTGTTATGTACCCGGGAGGTCCCATGGCTCAGTCTTGTTTAGGTCGGCCTCTCCGATGGCGATGCAGGTGTAGTCCGTGTTGCGCACCTTGTTCGTCAGGTAGTGGCTGACAATCTCATCGTCAGTTGGGTGGAAGCAGAACCCTGGAGGCAGGTCAAGGCCACCGGCTCGAACAGCGTTCATCTCTTGCTGCTGGGGCTGCTGTTGATCCGCCATGGTTCTCTTGCTCCTCAGCTAAGATCAGATCCAAGAATCACCAACAACCGTATCAAGCAACAAAGAAGAATCTCTAGATAGTACTGAAAAAACAAAGCAGTATACATACATGCACAAACTCTTTCTTGACCTGCCGGTTAGTCTAGGTCTCTCGCTCGCTCGCTCACCAAGACGGATGCAGGACGAGTTGTGGTGGTGCAGTGAGTCAGGCACTGCCACACGACTTAAATAGGCAGGTTGCGCAAGCTACTTTCCGCTGAATCCGCATGCCTCTGTTTGTCTCCCGTCTTTTCCGGTGATGACTGTTTCTACTGGGCATTGGACTGTTGTTCTTTCCAACCATGCCACGCTTGTCCTCGTGCACCAGGGCTCGCTTTTGCGCCAAGGCCTCGACCGCTACTGGCGATAGGTGCTGGGTTTATGGAATGTCTCTGCTTGTGTGCGGCGTGAAGCGTGCCACCTGTCGTGACCTCGATCCTCCAGTTTGCCTACCCTGGCCTGCATTTCCTGTGGACGTATGTGTTCATGTGCCGCTCATGGATGCAGGCAGGCCTTCTCCGCCCGTTGCCTTGTCTGCATGAAGAAGAGGGTTATTGCGGATAGCGGCCGCCCATGTCGAGATGCGCGCGTCTGCAGCCGCGAGGGCTGCCGCAAGGCCTTCATGATAGAAAGTTGTGGACAGGCCAGCCGTGGGGTCCATGTTGCCTTGCATGTAGTGCATGCAGGGACTGCTGTAGTCGTAGGCATCCATCTGCAAGCAGGCCAATGACCGGTCTTTGTGATCTGGTGTCGATCATTGCAGCGCCGGAGGGTCATGTTGTTCACTACTCAATCAATTTTTTGGTGCATGGAGAAACGCGTGAGCGCATGGCGTTGTGCCGATACGGTGTGCTATAGCTGTGTATGTATATGTGCCCATTGTCATGTAGAAACCGTGCATAGATCGGTGCCCAACAGACAAGTATATATGCGTCCGAGCGTGCCAGCTAGCCCTGGAAACCATGGTCAGTTAGCCTGTTACTAAGCCAGCCAAGGAACAGGTGGCGACGAACGCTTGATTTATGCATGCATCGGGGGATATTTTCCTTTTCAGTTCCTTACTTTCAAAGGAATTAATTTAGTAAAGCTGTGTTCTGATCCATATCGATTCATCACACATTGTGCATTCATATAGATGGCTAGAGTCCATGTCTACGTGCTTTCCAGGCCCGGTGAAATGGCATGGCATGCTACTTTCCCTAGAAAAGTGGCGGCAATGTGTGCTTGTCGACCATGGGTACGGTGCCATCTCATCCAGGAGAGGCTCCAGGTGTGATATACGTGAACGTACATGCTTATCAATTGCTTAGCTTGAATGGGGCCAATCCTCTAAAGTCATCTTATGGGTGTGTCCCAACCGGAAGGAATCGACCCAAGTATCTATCATCACCTGTTCACCACACAAGCCTCCGCAACCACACTTTAGATATGGTAGGGAATATACCCCACACTCGTCTCATCAACAAGGTATAATTTCATGTTAGTATAAAAACTATAAAGTAGCATATATTTGTCACCATAGGATAGATGTTAATCGTATGTCTCTAAACCTGGCAAGGAGGACCGATCCATTGTGGATTAACCTGGATCACCCAAAGGAGGATATGATGATGCATGGCTCAGAGGTAGGATGAGTTTGATGGCACTAGACTCGGTATCAGGTCTCATGGCCGGTTGGTGTTAGGATCGAATGTGTACCTTTGTATGTAACCCGTAGATCCGGGGAAGACCTCATCCTTGTCTTCCCCGTAGATGTACCACAGCGGGTAGACGCCGGTGCCGCGGTAGCTCCGGCTCGGTAGAGTCCGTAGTGGTACTGCAGTGGTCCGGTGGTGACCGGTGGTGACCTGCAGGGGGCAATGATGTCGTCGGTGGGCACATCCCGTCGCTGGCAGCACCTCTTTAGGATCGGATTAGGGTTTTCTATGGGTGAGATGGCAGCTCCAGTGAACCTCGTAGTCCGAGCCTTGATCCCCACCTTCCTTTTATGTGTGCTGTGCGACAGGGGCCCACCAACCATATTAAGGTTGGACTCCCCCGATCAGGGAGCAGAGACAAGGGCCCAAGGGCCTATTGGTGGAGGATCTACGGTTACAGAGAGGTACACCATCGATCCTTACAGTTGGATCTCCTGCCTATGCTTTCCGGATTAACAGATATGTTGTAAGAGGCAGATAAATGTGGCCACCGCTGTAGAACATTTTTTTACCACCTCTGTAGCTCTGTTTCCTAGCTAGTAGTGAGATTTCTTGGATGGCCTGCACCTTGCTCAGTTGTCGTCGTATTGTATATTGCTGCCACAACTAGCTAAAAGTGTAGTGTAGTGTGGTAGACGTTGCATCTAGCCATAGCTACGGCATAGCCGCACTTGTGGCTTGGCTTCGTTGAGAAGCAAAGAGGACATGCCATGAGCCGTGAGTCCCACCAATCTGATGCCGTAGGATTCCCCCAGTGCGTTAAGATTGTCCCACAATTAATGAAAAACAATAGGATATATACCTGTTAATACATCGAAGATGGTCTCATATCAATCACACTGATGAGCACGCAAATCGAACCAGGCCAAAACTGTAATGGAAGGGGATATTACACTTTAACCCTCGTCGCATTATTATTGGCATGAAACTCCTGTTGGTTGAGTACACTCTCCATCCATTGATAAATGGAAATTATGGAGCTTTGTTGATATATGACTCCGTTGATAATAATCACGAGTTGTTTATGGTAATATTGATATACTAAATATGAACTATTGACAATCACATGCCCCTACAGGAAGCAATCAATATATCTATCACCAGTTCACCACACAAGCTACTGCAACCGCACTTTAGATATGGTAAATATACCGGGCATCACTCTTTTTCCTGTCCGGCATTCGCTCGTCTCATCAGCAGGGTGTAATTTCATATTAGTATACAAACTATAAAAGTAACATATATTTGTCACCATAGGATGTTAATAATTTGTCTCTAAACCTGGTGAGGAGGCCCGGTCCAGCATGGAGGAACCCAGATCTGCACTTGTTGCTCGGCTTCGTTGAGAAGCAAAGATGACATGCCATGAGTTGTGACTTGTCCCACCAATCTGTTGGCGTATGATTCCGCCAGTGCCATAAGATTGGCCTATAATTAATGAAAAAAAACAATAAGGGATATATATATCATAAAGCTAAGCTTTTCAATTATGGGAATTGCTATATTTATTGTCAATGCATCCAAAATGGTATCATCACTACTGGAGGCCGCGGCTTTGCCGAGTGTTTTTACACTCGGCAAAGAGCCCTTTGCACTCGGCAAAGGCTTTGCCGAGTGTAGCACTCGGCAAAGTCCGCTCGGCAAAATTTTTCTCGGCAAAGGGTCTTTGCCGAGTGCTTTTTATCGGGACACTCGGCAAAATAAAAAAAAATTGCCGAGTGCTTGGGGCGGCACTCGGCAAAATATTTTCGGCCATTGCGGCGTCGGCCGTTAACAGTTATTTTGCCGAGTGCCCGACCCAGCATTCGGCAAAAAAAAATTATTTTTTTAAAAATTTACTTTGCCGAGTGCCCCAGCCCAGGCACTCGGCAAAGTTTTTTTATTTTTTTAAAAAAAAAGACTTTGCCGAGTGTTCCTGCCTAAGCACTCGGCAAAGTTTTTTTTTTTTAAAAAAAAATTACTTTGCCGAGTGCCTCTGTTTAGGCACTCGGCAAAGAATTTCTGAATTTTTTAAAAAAAAAACTTTGCCGAGTGCTCTGTTTAGGCAGGAAGAATTTTCGGCAAAGTACTTTCCAAAAAAAAATAAAAAAAAACTTTCAGGCCCAAAACGCCAAATAGGATGTTCAAACAAAACATCAAGTTTCTAGGATTTCTATATACTCGTTTCTTCTTTTCTATTATTTTTGTTTCAAATTTGTAATAAAAAAATGCTGTGCAATGGAAACGATCTTGTCTACCTGTGATGTACCTACTATCAAGCGGAAAACCAGAGTACTAGGAAAAAAGTGCCCATTTTCAAATAAACTAGAAAACCTGGGCTTTGCCACGCCATCTTGATCACCTATGTTATTTTATTGCGCTATAGTTAAACAATAGAGTATTGAAGCTTAATAAGGAGCTCTAAGGTGTTTGATATTTTCTCTCGTTTTGTTTGGCTGCTGTGCTCTCATTCTGTAGTTCAGCAATGTCACCCTACAATGACAAATTTAGAAAGCATAATAACATGATTACAGATGGATAGCATGGAGGAGAAATAAATGTAGCGTATATAGCGGATAAGATCATAAGGGTACAAAAGCAGTGTCGACAATAAGTAATAAGAACTACATCAATTATTTAGTAGAAAATAAATAAAGGTCAGTTGTTATGGCATTCTTTAATGACAATCTTCAATGAAATATTAGACAAAATAGCATATGTACTTACAGATATGACTGTTGTATGTAGCAGCCAAAGACAAGCCTCTGATTTATGCTGATAAACATGAGAATGCTGTTAAGAACTCAATTAAGTGTTTGCTATTGATTAGACGGGAAGGTACATTGCAACTACACATTCAATCCACATCATCTTCCTTGTACGTAATCAGTATCTGTGAACACTAACTTAGGAATGCCTACCTATCGCCAGAGCAGAGATGCATTTGACCCCTTCCTGCATGTTGTTTTTCCTCCGACAAATCTGAGTGTATCCAGCTTTTATGTCTCTTTGGCTTATGAGTGGCCAATGATAATACCTACAACTTTGAAACCATGAACTGAGACCAAGGAAAACACAATGTCTAATCGTACCAAGATAAATGTGATGGAATGCCTTATCTCAAGCTGTAATTCTTAACATGACTTCTGCAGGCTAAATTAGCACATTCAGATAATTTTAGGCATGCACAAAGGTCATATTGTCACAAAGCTATAAGCATATGAAGACATATTATTATACTATATCCTAATCTGATAACCATTCAGGAACTCCTCCATCTAGAAGATTTAGCTTTTCACTTTACATAAGACTTCAGTTGATTTAATAAAGTTTGATGCAAATTATAAGTTATAACAGATTTGTTAGTGTGGATACAAGTTAATTTAATAAGTAATATAACATACTAATGCTGATAACCTACTTCTGGGCTCTAATTTACAGCACTGTGTATCACTACAGTGCCAAGGCAAATGTCGAGCACATTACGCAGCTGTTTGCATATCCTGATATCAATGCATTGTAAGGTCCAGATGTCCATGTGTGGCAATGCTCTCAAAAGCTGAACAACATCAAATATTGTCTATTTAATAGATTGCCAGCACCTAAACAGTGTACTTAACAAACAAAAGCGGATACCTTTGAAGGCTGAGTTTGGCTTCTTTCCCACTGCTGACAAACTATCTTGCGATGCAATTGTAGCCTGGTACTTTGGGGAAGCCCCTTCACCAGATGCTTGCCACTGCTATGATTTTCGTTATTCGTCACAACAGCTTCATCAGAACTTACTAATTTGTCAGCGTGTGCATTCATCTCTTCTGGAATCTGCCCAGCCGCTTCTTTTGAAGTGTTGCAAGTGAGAGAGTTCCTCCTCACAATCCTTTTCTTCTTAACCTCGAGTCTCTTCAGACTCTGTGCTTCCTTACGTTTCTTCCATTCATCATTGCCAGCAGCCTCAATGACAGCAGGGAGTGAACTAGTCCTCATGAGTGTGCCTGCAATATTCAGTAAGTATTTACAGATATTGGGAATTTGCGGAAAGCTGTTGATGTTTATTTCAAGAAACACTGAGATATTCGATTTCTCAACATATGACTGTTACATTAAAATATGTATTCTTTCGTTTACATTGGCATTATGCTTTAACAAATCTATATATTAACTAAAAACCAATTACAAAAACTACAAACCAAAGCGATCACAATCGGCACTGCTAAGCACGGAATCTAAAAGCCAAATTAACTATCAAGGGTAGCAAATACTAAAGATAGTATAAACCCCACAAAGAGAAGCCGCACGCACCTTGCAATCTCTGCCCATCACCTCCCGAAGAGGCAGAGGAAGGGCTCCCGCTCGCCGGCAGCCTCGCCGCGTGTTCCACGCCGAGACCCCCGCCATCAAGGCAAGAACCCCATCCAGCCTGCCCCTGCTGCCTCCCAACCTCCGACGCCTCGGCCAGGACCGGCAGCGAGCTCGTCCGCGGGAGCGCGCGCGGCGCCGGCACCTCCACCGGCGGCGTCAGCATGGCCGCCACGGATGACGACCGGGGGAGCTTGTCCCCCTTTCTGTCTAGCCCGAACCGGCCGCCGAGCGACAGCCCGAGGCTGAGTTCGACCTCCTCCATCTGCTTGCGCAGCTGCCCCGGCCTCTGCTCCGGTGGCGGCTCGTCTCCCTTCCCAATCCCGCACAGCAAGTCCCGCCGGCCAAGGGGATGGGCTGGGGGCGCGGCGCTGCGGCGGGCGGCGCTGCTGCTGCGTGCGGCGCGAGCGCGGCGGCGCACGCGGAGGCGCGTGCGGGCGGGAGGTGGCGCCCGCGGAGGCGCTGCGGCGGCGGGCGGGCAGCGCTGCGGGGGCGGGCTGCGCGGAGGCGCGCTGCGGCGGCGGGCGGCGCGGTGGGCGGCGGGCAGCGCGTGCGGGGGTCGGGAGCACGGGCGGCAGAAGATAGGGTTTGGAGGGAGGGGTGAGGGTGGGCCGGTTGGGCCCTTTTAGGCCGCGGGCGTTTTTTTTTGGATTTTCTTTGCCGAGTGCCCACTGGGCCGGGCACTCGGCAAAATTTTTTTTTTTTAAAAAAAAACTTTGCCGAGTGTCATCTTTGTGCACTCGGCAAATTTTTTATTTTTATTTTTTGAAAACAAATTTTGCCGAGTGCCTTTGCCGAGTGCCTCCTGGATCCGGACTTTCGGCAAAAGACATTTTCTTAGAAGTGCTCCCTGTGGCACTTTCGGCAAAATATAATTTTTTTTTTTTGACCCAAATTTTTTGTGTAGCCTTGTGTGGTATTTAAAGCTCTACTCTAAAATTTGGTGAAATTTTGACTTTTTAGGTATAATTCATTAATTTATTTCGTTTCGTTGATTTTTTCGGCGTATTTCAAATTTGAACTGCAGGTCCTTGGAATAATGGAATTTGGTCATCCAAAAATTGATATTCATGATATTTAGTGTATGTTGAGGCCGTATCCAGGGAGTAACATGAAATCTCGAGCATCTCTTTGACGTAACATGTCGAGTTAGTTGCGGGAAAAGTGAATTTAAATTATATATAATCCAAACGAAGTCCGAAAATCATGAAACTTGTGGAGGCGTCGTGTTATCGCATATGGAGGCTATGGTAAAAAATTGAGAATATTTCGAGTAAGTAGTGACGTCGGATGTCAAAAACCCAGACATCTCCACATGTGATCACTTTGTTTCCCATGTGATCACTTCGTTTTTGGCATCTAACGTCACTACTTGCTCGAAATCTTCTCAATTTTTTACCACAGCCTCCACATGCGATAACACGACGCCTCCACAAGTTTCATGATTTTCGGACTTCGTTTGGATTTTATATAATTTAAATTCACTTTTCCCACAACTAACTCGACATGTTACGTCAAAGAGATGCTCGAGATTTCATGTTACTCCCTGGATACGGCCTCAACATACACTAAATATCATGAATATCAATTTTTGGATGACCAAATTCCATTATTCCAAGGACCTGCAGTTCAAATTTGAAATACGTCGAAAAAATCAACGAAATGAAATAAATTAATGAAATATACCTAAAAAAGTCAAAATTTCACCAAATTTTAGAGTAGAGCTTTAAATACAGTCACAAGGCTACACAAAAAAATTTGGGTCCAAAATCAAAAAAAAATATTTTTGCCGAGTGCCAGGGGAGCACTCGGTAAAAATGTCTTTGCCGAGTACCGGGCCCAGGAGGCACTCGGCAAAATTTGTTTTCAGAAAATAAAAAAATATTTTGCCGAGTGCCCAAGGATGACACTCGGCAAAGTTTTTTTTTTAAAAAAATAAAAACAAATTTTGCCGAAGCTACTGGCTTTGGCTTTCCTGAAGTGCGTGCACTCGGCAAGAAAGTCCAGATTTGCCGAAGTGTTCGACTTTGCCGAGTGCCTAGCACTCGGCAAAGCCTGCTTTGCTGAGTGCAAAATTTTGCCGAGTGCTACACTCGGCAAAATATTGCTTTGCCGAGTGCCACGATATTTTGCACTCGGCAAAATATCAGGCACTCGGCAAAGTACAGTTTTCCAGTAGTGCATGCCAATCCACATCGATGGGCACGCAAATCGAACCAGGCCAAAACCGTAACAGAAGGGAAGTGCACTCTCCATCCATTGCTAAGTGGGAATTGAGTTGTTGGTATGATTCCATTGACAATCACAAGCTGTTTATGGTAAAATTGGTAACAACGAGATGCTTATGTGTGTTAATAGAAGTTGTATGCATGTGTGTGTATAAGTCTCTAGATCTATACCTTGTTTAGAAAAATATTAACCTAATTTTCACCTATAATGAGTTGGAATGGTTATGGGCCATATATGACCCTGAAACCTGACCAACCTTTGGTGCGTTGGCTAAATTATTAAAGCAGAAGGCAGGAAACTATAAACACTTGTAGACCAGCGTGACTATGGTTAGTTCACTTGTTTTTTTTTCGCCATATACATCAAAAGGTATCCAAGAGACCATCCTAACGTCGGCCAGAAACTGGTGCCATGCTCACGGTGGCAATGTAGCTTCGCCTCTGCCTACTATGGGACGGATGAAGAAGTGGCAGAGCTAGGGGAGTTTGGGGCGGTTTCAGTCAAGGTCACTTGGAGATCCCACAGGAAGAATATTGATGAATAGGCTTGGTATCTGGTAGCCAAAACATTTGATTTACCAACTTCATTATGTTCCAGTGAAATGTGTCATTCCTAAAGGCCAGATGTACCTAGTTACTTTTTGGCGGAATAGTCATTTTGCTCTCTAAACTATTACTCGAGGCTCAGTTTTATTCCTGAACTTTCAAAAATGATTATTTTAGTCCTCAAACTCTACTGCTAAGCCCAGTTTCATCCTAGAACTATAAAGATGATCATTTGAGTCTTCAAACCTTGCATTCTAGGCTCAATTTCATCCTAAAACTATGAAGATGATCATTTCGGTCCTCAAACTTTGCATTTTCGGAGCGATTGGAGATATAAAAATAATAATACGAATCCAAAAACTCTTTACTGACCATTAATAATTACAAGCTATTATATTTAATGTTACCTTATAATGGTACCATTTATATATATCCGACTATAAATGATTTTTGTAGGAGCAATTATAGTTGCTTCAAACGCTATTCCTTAAGAATACATAGATATATTAAATAGCAGATCTATAATTTTTTTCTTAGCTACTTCTAGGGTTAGGCTCAACTAATAACCATGTGTATAGAATAATTATTTTTATCCATGGGATAAAAAGAATTCATATTTAAGAATATTTAGATTTCTATTTATATTCGTCTTAGAACATAAATACAAATGTTGAAAGTACCTAACGCTAACGATGACTGTCGTGGGTGGTGCTAGACAAAGGATGAAGTTGTGCAAAAATGCATTTTGATAATTCTAGGATGAAATTGTGCCTAAAACATAAAGTTTTCTTTTTGGATAGACAAAATTGAGTTAAAAATAAAAGTTTAAAGATAAAAATGCACTTTGGTAGTTTATGGATGAAATTGAACCCATAATGCAAAGTTTGAGGACTGAAACGATCGTCTTCATAGTTCTGGGATAAAATTGAACCTCAAAGTAGATTTTGAGGATTAAAACAGCCGTTTTGAAAGTTCAGAGTTGAAACTGAGCCTCTGTTCTGCCTTACTTTTTACCTATACCTTCATATGCTAGCTTAATCTCGTCTGTGTTCCTGTATGCGTTTTTCAGTTTCATCTGGTTTGGTTTCCGGCCCAGATTATTCTGGCTGGATCTTACATGTTCATATGAATGTCCTTGTCCGAGCATGCCTGAGCCTGACCCAAACGAAAATTCAGAAAAATGATGTCTTCAGATGGCAGCAGCATCTCTGTTATGTGTCGTAGGCTCATAGCCACATACAGCAGAAAGGGGTTCAATTTGCATTCTGTAAGCATTGAAAAGACATCACGAGAAGAAGCACCAACACAATTAATATTTTCCTTTTCTCAATAATAATTCGACACTACATGCTATATCTCAAAAAAAAATGGTGTATAGCGCAGTGGCCTATTGATCCACGGAAAACAGAAGTTTTTGGGCGTTAACGAGTACAGGTGAACCTTGTTTAGTTCTCTCTACAATCTGCTGAATCAGCACTTTACAGTCATCGTCGTCATCATCATCATCGCCTGAATCATCTCTATCGCTGTCTTGATCTCTGCTAGGATTTGCACTCTTTAGAGCTCTCTCCCAAGTGGGTACTTCTTTCAGCTTCCTAGAGCTGTCCTCCATTCCCCAGATTAAACCACGGTCTACCAAGTAATCTTCGGTTGTCTGCGGCTTCCCATTTGTACTTGTGGTGCAAGGGGAGTCCGCAATTCTCATGAATTCTTCGTAAGCTTCGTCATAAGCTTCAAGCGCATCTCCAGATAGGTTTAGACAATATGGTTCTGCCAAGGAGCTAGTTTCTTGTATGAAAATGGGACTTCCCTGGCCTGAAGATGAACCTGACTCACTGTTTGAGCATATTCGTTCAGAGAATATTTGATCAGTCACCATCATCTGCATTTGCGTCTGCTTCTGCCTGTGGGCAATTGCTGACTCAAGCTCCTTGATTCGGTCTTCAAGCCTACGTTGGATCACCTTGTGGAGACGAATGCTGAGATCTCTAGGCGAGACGGGATAGTTTGCTCCACATGTGTAATCTGGGGAACTTTCCCTGCTGTCCCTGCCATGGTCACATTCACTGCTGTAATCTGTGTGGTCACGAGGGATCATATCAGCTTTCAGTTCCCCACAAACAATGTCACCAATGAACTCCTCATCAACCTGCACATGTAGAATTTCAATAAATAGAATTGTAGGCTACATACAGATGTATGTGGAAAATTTTGGTGAAAGATAGTTACCTCCAGGCCCCTGGTTACCTCATTGAAGTCAGATGTCTGTTCTTCCACACGTTTCAAAGTGATATTCAATTCCAGTCTTGCAAGCTCAGCTTCAAGCTCCGCTTTGATTTTGCTCATTGGCTCTGAATCAACTACATGTAGTTTGCTATTATCATCTATTATCAGCAGATAAGATACATAAGCTTTTGGTTTAAATAAGTTAAAATGTTGTACGAAATTCTAACAATTGATACTTTACCATCATGTTCGCTAGAAGTTTCATTAGGCAATTCTTTCACAGTTAAACCCTCTTTCATCTCCAGTTCATCTTGTAAATCCTGAACTAAGTTCTCCATTTGTTTCAGTGTGCCCTTCAACGTATCAAATTCCTTCTTGTTTGACAGAGAAGATGATAGAATACCAATGCTCACCCCAATAGAGAATAGGAGGAGTCGATCACGTAAACCTGCAGATCAAATATGCATATTTAGGATGTGACAAATGCTTCAAAGAGGAAAAAAAATCTAAAATGGAATGAATTCAATGAAGAAGCATGCCATTCATAGAGAGAAGTCACCCTTTCAATATCACCTTACTGGTTGGGATTTACTTCAATTACAGTCATTAGCAGCACGTGAAACAGGTTACTGGGACGCATGAGTGTCTACAAATCCTCATGTGTGAAATTAGACTACAGAACTGTACTACCAATGATGCTAAAGGAAAGTATGTAGTAGAAACATAAATGAAAAGGGAACTCAGACAACTGATAATATGATTACAAGCATTCACAAATTTTCAATGGATTCAGGATATTCAGGGTGCCCTCTCGGTTGCTGCTATTTTGGAGTACATGGATACCTGGGAGTTTGTTTCTGATGTTATTTTGCAGCCTGATGTCTACTGTGGAGGCTTACTGAGTCTAGCCAATATTCTGCAAAGTCAGCTTACAAGGCATTTTTCTTTGGTTATGTTGTCTAGTTGTCTTTGAACCTTGCGAGCTTATATGAACTTGGACACCAAAGGAATGCCTATTTTTCTTACGGCTTGCTGCACATGGTAGGTGCTGGACAGCAGACTGACTAGCTAAGAAGGGCCTTCCACACCTGAGCCACTGCCCTTTATGTGATCAAGAAGAAGAGACCATCCGACATATTTTGATAGGCTGCGTGTTTTCTAGGCAGGTGTGGCTTCTTCTCCTCCGGCGAGTTGGACTCTCTCCCCTTCCCCTCAGGCCGGATATGTGGTGCTCAGTGACTGGTGCTTGAGGATTAATGACTTCATTCAGGGCAGCATGAAGCATGAAGCTGGGCCTTAATTCTCTGGTTGTCTTGGGTGCTTGGATGTTGTGGAAACACTGCAATGATTTCGTTTTTCAATGGTGCTTCCCTAATGTTCAGCAGATCCTAAGGTTTATCCTGGAAGGGTGAGCTGTGGTGTCTAGCAGGAATTGGGGGTTTAGCCAGCTGGGTCTGGGTGCAGCGTCTCTTGGGGCTGCAAGGTGGCTTGGTGGTGATCATGTTTTTCCTTGTACCTGGTGCAAATGTGACTTGTTGAGGTTGGGTGTATTTGAGTGTGTGTGTTGGGGTTTGTACTTCTTGCGTATTTCTTCTCCTTAATGCAATATAAATCAGTGGATGTCAGAGCAGTGAGCACAGAATAACTCATGTCTTGGAAGTTGGAACCATTGTTTCATATTTAGATTATGATGATATCAGAACTTACTAGTGAAGAGTATGGCATGACAATTAACTAGTCACAATATAATTCAACTGGGATCATCAGTCAAAAGGAACAGAAGCTCCACAAGTCCACATGACATGAGTCGTCACAAACTCTCTACAGGTACAACTAATTAGTATTACCAGACCATGGATGTTTGATTTGAGTTTATACAAAAATGGCAGATGAAGGTTTCCTACGTGAAAGTAACGGTACCAGTAAAAAACAGCACAAAGGACAAAGGGCTATGCAAATACTTATGACAAAAGTCTATAATTCTTGCAGTCTAACTGTAAAGTTTCCATTTATCTTAGGAGTTAGCACTTTATTTTAAATGTTTATTTTTTACTTCAAACTGTATTGACAGACCTAATCGATATGAGAAACTTGAAGTCAGGAATTTTGCCTATCATGACAACATAATACATGAGGGCGTCAAAATGTCCAAGGAATGCAGTATTTGACTCACTTCCATTTAATGTATAGTATATGATAGGGAAAACGTCTTGGCAGCTAATTATTTCAACCATGGGATTCCTCGGCTATAATCATGTAGCAAACGTTGAGGAATGATGCTGAAAGTAAGTACCTGCTTGTTCATGTGATTTGCTACTTCGCTGAGAACCAGACAGACCAAGCCTTGCATCATGTGAATTTCTGGAATCATGTTTGAGTTTCTTCAGGTCAGGTAGAGGAGCAATTCCAATCAGACTTCCTGGCATCACTGAGGTGCCTCTACATTCCTCCTTGTCTAATCTGATATTAAAGGGCAGAGGTACTGGCTCATAGCGTGATTTACTAATTATCCTTCTACCATCTGTCACAATGAATGGCCTAACAGAAGCTGGGGAGGGAGCTGGAGCAAACGTGCACTCTTCAATTTCAAAGTTCTCACTGTAAAGCTGTGGAACGTAGGGGTTGTCCATTGGCACAAGTGGCTTCATCAAATTCCTACGAGATCTTCTGCTCCTAAGAGCTCCACAACCTCTTCCAGGCCCAGAACCAAGAGCAGGGCTCCTTGGGGTGACTTCAACAGCTTGACCCTCTCGAAGGGCATTGACCAGATTCTTGCCTTTACCAGCTGCCTTGCTACCACTCGCAAGCAAACTTTCCCCACGGTTTTGTGAGCTGTTTCTTTTAAAAATCCATGGTTGTAAACTCAGTAGGGATCCAGGATCCCCCACATACTCGCCTGGGCTCACCGAATCAGTGTTGCGGCTGCCGCTAGTAGAAGCAACTGCCTTGCCACCTGATGAGCCACCAAATGCGGAGTGAACAGAGTTTCTTGGAGTATTGCAAGGCACATTCTCCTCATCCAGACCTAAGTCCCCAGAAATCTGATTAAGAATCATCCTACGAAACACATTGCTCCCCACTTCCCCATTCTTGGGGTTGTTGTGCTTATCCATCGGGAGAAATCTTAGACTGGCACTAATTCTTCAACAGCACCAGAGAAGACTCTTCATGTCCACAGTTGCTTGAGCAATCTACATGAACAAAACCTGATTAGAGCATGCACAAAGCTTTAACTCATCAACATTAAAAATAAGCATAAAGCATATGCTGGGTTCAGTGAACCCCAAAATCTTTGGGAAAAATAAACTGCACCCACGCTTTCGGTACCAACTAACATAGGTGCTACAAATTTGGGCGGAAAACGAGAAAGAGTCGGACTTCCCGCTCGTGGCCGCAGCCGCAGTCCGTCAGGACAGAACTACCAAGAGAACCATCTCCAAGAGAACTAGGTTTACTCACCAGGAAAACAAGAAATGAAACCGCCACCTGGGGATGGATCTTCCCTCCCCTCCGCACCACCAGCTCCACAGGTTGAGGAGCTGCGGCGGCGGCCTCCGTGGAGCCAGGATCCGGCTGAGCTGGCCCCGAAACCTTCAGAAACAGCAGTAAAGAAAAAGAACCGGTTGTTTATCTCATCTCACCCACAAGAAGGGCAGAGGAGGATAAGGCGCCGCCGCCGGCGATGAAATGCCGGCGTCACGAAGGGAGGAAGTGAGGTGGCGCGAGTTGGGGCTAGAGTAGGAGGGGAGCATCCATCAGACCATCACTGTGAAGCAGGCGTTTTTGGGTCGGATTTGGGTACTTGGGTATGGATTTTTTTGTCTGGAGGGAGCAGGAAGAACATCCCGAGGAGGAGCCAAGCACAGGAGTATAGGACCACGACAGCATGAAAAAAGATTAAAAATTCACAAAGAAATTGCTGGAGCAGAGCACAGTTAATTTTTGAGCCATGTATAAATGCATAAATGGTATGCTGTTGGTGGAAAAAATTGATGCCGCCACACAAACGGTCAGACAGAAACTTTCATCCGCAAAAGCAATGGATTTGTTGTCCTATATGAAAATGCCCAGCAGAAAATTGTCAAAAAGAAAAAAAATATACTGTATAAAAAAAGATAGATTGGCATCGAGGCCTCGACGCGTCTATTTAGGTGGCGTTTGGGAAGTGGGAAATGAGGGGTGGGTATGGGATACGAGGAGACTGTTAAACCGTAACCCATGTGTTGGATACACTGTAGCATTGGGAAAGGGAAATCAGCAGGTTATCGTATCCTGGTTAGGAGGGTGGGTTACGCTGGGAAACGCCGGTGGCCGCGGTGCTGAGAAACACGACGGCGGCGTTAAGGAAGAGACCATGGCAGTGGAGAGGCGTGGGTGAAGCTGGAGCAGATTTACCATGCGTGCTGGCGGGGACGATGCGGCGGAGCTGTGGCGACTGGCCGGCTGCTTCAGATCCTCGCGAGCAAGGATTAGGAGGCCAACCCACCTATTTTGTTAGTTTTTCAACAACAACAAAAAAACGATCGCATTGTACACTTCAACTCCACAATCTTTTTCACCCTAAGCTTGTTTTACATACACAACAGAAAAGGCAGAAGGTAGAAGAGACCACAAATCCTATTATTCTAACATTGGGTTTTCTCCTGTAGGCTAGTATTTTTTTTAATCCATTAGTACTGTCATTTTTCTCCTTTCAATAATCGACGGCTCCTGTGTACAGTACAGTGTCAAGGACTGACTGCACTTTGTTTTCCGGGGAACAGGCAAAAGAGATGCTTAGCCTTTACTCCCTCTGTCCCAATTTATTTGTCGTTTTCGGTTTTCGTGTCATAAATTTGACTCAATTTGTAGAAAATATATGTAACATTTGTATCTTTAAATAAATTTATTAAAAAACTAGATTCAAAGATCTTTCTAATGATATTAATTATACGTCATAAATATTAATATTTTTTAATATATATTTTGTTAAAGTTATTTCTCGAAAAACAAAAGCAACAGATGTTTTGGAACGGAGCGAGTACATCATTGCCTAAGCAAAAGATAATCCTCTTCCATCCCAGCCGTCAATGTGTCCTGCTCTGTGGTTCCAGCTCTTGATGACAGCTGGAATGGACGCTGGGCCACATCGCCTGCACTGCACTTGGACGTTGAAATATTTTTTTCCCTATTATTATCCAATTGCATCGTATGAATGTAATGTACTCAACTTTTATAATAGGGTTAATTTTTTTTTAAAAAAAAAACTTCTATAATAGGGTTCCTGTCCACATCGACTAGTAAGCTTCGATACTACCTATGCACATCCATCCTTCACTATTTTAGACTAAATATTGTCAAACCGATATAAAGTTTTGGAAGGAAAAAGTTTCAAAACAAAAATGTTCTGTCTACGTGTAAATTGTGCACCTAAGCTTTCCAAAAAAAACAATAAAAGACCTAAGCTTGTTTTACATACAAAAAGAGATCAAAGGCAGACGGTGTAGAAGAGAGACGAAATGCACAAATCAAAAACTAATTTACAGTTTAACAGATTGGGTTTTCTCCTAATTAGGCTAACAATTATTATCAAATAATCCAAAACGTACGAATTGTCAACTAAACGAGGCCTTACTTAAAAGAATGCTTGGTGGGGAATGTCTGATGCTTGATGCAAGACAGGTACATCTGATGCTGATGGGTCCATGTCATTTCGCAGAGGGAAAGCACGGCTTTGAAACTTCAACAGGACAACCAATGGGGACTTTTTGGTTTAGTTTTTCACACTCTTGGACATTTACCTACGTGGAATTTCCCCCCTCATAAAACAAGATTGGGGCCTTGTTCAGTTTGCAACTTTTTTCAACCCGATGAGAAAATACTTTCGCCTTATTTGGTAAATATATTGTCTAAATGGAAATTTATCAAAAAATCTCGTAATTTCCAACTAAATCTGTGTAATTAGTTATTTTTTTTACCTACATTTAATACTCCATGCAAGCAGTTAAAAATTGATGTGATATAGAGAGAGTGAAAAAACTTGGAATTTGGATGGTATCTACCTCGATAAGGTTTTCATTTGGCCCACACATACTGTGCTTTGTTGGACATCACGCGGCCAGGTAACACTAGCAGGTTCAGAGATGACGTCAAACGTAGGTTTGGCAGAAACCTAGAGACAAAGACCACAGACAACCGAGAATTGACTAGATGGCTCCTGGTCAAAATGTAGATTCTGAGTCCAGATTTCTGAAGTCTCCTCCTCCTTGTTTTTGAGTGAACGGTAGGAAAGCTTCTTCTAGCAATTATATTTACAACCAAAAAAAGTCGATCTATTTTGTTCAGGTCTGTTAGTTTGGTTGTTGATGTAGTTTGCCAAACCGCATTCGGGCATTCGGTAAACTTTGGTTGTCATAGAAAGTGTGGCGAGCAAATTTTAAATCACACTTGTGGCAAAGTTTTCAAGAAAAAATGTATAATATGTGGAATAGGCTGCTAAAAACTTATGACATGTCATAGTTGTGTGGACAACGAACCAAACAACTGCGAAAAAACTAGCATAACTAACCTTTGACGTGGCAAGGTATGGTCACGAACCAACTATAGAACGAAAAGAAGACCAACCTGTGGTCAAGTTGCGCTCACGCATGCTTGCATCCTTGTCCACCTGAGTTCAAGTCCTACAAGCTCACCTTCTTTTCATCCTAGGTTAGGGTTACTCGGTTTTTTGAAAAAAAGGCTTCTTTATCCGTTTCCCATCAAGCACCGCAATTGCTTAAAAAATATGTCCACATCGACTAGGAGTCCATGATCATAGGCTACCTATGCACATCCATCCTTCACTATTTTAGACATAAATATTGTCAAACCGATATAAAGTTTTGGAAGGAAAAAGCCCCATCCAAAACAAAATAGGTTCTGTCTACGGGTGGGTGAATAGGCGTTTAAAAAATTAACACCTAAATGCGAAACATTAGAAAGGGAGTTTCCAAAAAAACTCCAAATTAAAACTACCACCCTCTCACAAGTTAGCCACAGAGTAAACAAGGTATAAAGAATATATATAGAAGCTACAAAGCAATGCAAGTTGGTGGGGAATAAATGTCTGATGCTTGATGCCAAGAACAGGTACATCTGATGCTGATGGGTCCGAACTTGCTCCTTCATTTCTATCTTCAAACCAAAGCAGCACCTAATGGAGATTTGAAACTTCAACAGCTAGGACAAATATCAAATGAAATGCGAATTGAGACACGATATTTGTTTTCAAGTTCGGACTCGTTCGAGTCCTACTCTTCATTGATTCTTGACCCATTTACCACGAAGGTCACTCTGGAATATTCAACTCCTTTTCCTCCTTCCACTAAAACAAGTGGAATGGGAAGGTTTTCATTTGGCCCAACCACAATCACTGTGCTCTTGTTGAACATCACGCTAGGACCAAAGAGTCCAAAGTAACAAGCAGGAATTCAGATTGATATCAAAGGTCAAGGGTTTGCTCTCTTTTTCAAATTTCTCTTAACCCACAAATTGATTTTACAATTTGGATCACAACACTAAGAGAGGGTTTGACTAGATGGCTGCTCTATCAAAATGCCTCCAAAGGTGGATTCTGAGTCCAGATTTACGGGACACTCAGATGACTTACTCCTCGGTAACTAAGTTCTTTGAAGTTTGAGGCGCCGGAACTCCCGATGAACGAAACTCCCAAGGAAAAGCGAACTTCAAATTTGAAAACCATGTGGCGAAGTTAAATAATACAACCGGAAAAAAGGAACTTTTGTCGAATTTTGACTCACGGGAACTCCCTACCCTCAAGGTTTTTGAAAACTAGCCGTTGGCTTTTGGTCGCATTCGGACACATTCGTATGAAACTTGACACGTAGAAATGACCGAGACGATGAAATCCAAGTCACAAGTGTGAGAAAGAACTCCCGACCATTTCGAAAAAACCGCCGGAAACTCCCGACCCACGTCGGAAAACCATGTGAGAACAACATTTTTTACGATATAGGACACGTCCGGTAAGCTGCACCAGCAACAAGTCGGGCTTAGCCTTTTTGTCTCTCAAACACTCAAATCTCACATGGGTTGGCTTGAGCACTTATGAAATATTATCTATCAACATGATGCATCCCTCTTAATAACTAGCATACCTATTAAACTCAAGATCAAAGGAAAAAAGGATTTGTGGTCATGAGTTGATCTCTTTTGAATTGATGCCGTCTCTTTCAATCTTCATCAAGTAAGGGTGCTAACATGTTGATATTGATCTTTTCACTTGAGCATAGCTTCATCTTGAGCATGTGACTTGATTCCATTCATCAAATTTGAATAATCCCAAATGTATCAAGTCACTTCCATCAAACAATCCAATAGTGATTTGATCCTCCACATGAACATGGCCATCATAGCTTGATTAGTACTTTAACTAAATGCAAGTACTTTCTTCTTCACCCTAGCTAGGTTCTTCGGCCGCCAAGCCGTCGCTTGCCCTTCACCCTTGCTTAGTACCTCGAAGCCTTTCCTTGCTATCTTCACCATCTCAAGCCATCAAGTCACTTATTGTGTTAAATCATCCATTCATTTGTATTGTTATCTTTTTTATTTCAATTTAGCAAGCTTCAAGTATGAGACCATTCCATATGCAATTTCTCATGTCTCATTAATTAATTCTCACGAGCTTGCTTTCACATAGCAAATGGAAATCCCACAATAAATGAGCATTTGCATGAATAACATTTGCATTGTTGTCTTGTGCTTGAACTAGATTGTTTATACAACAACACATCATTTTGGCTTTCATTAAGTACTCATGAGATAACCTATAACTTGTCCACACTTAGCAAACGGGTTAGACCTTTAATCACGTTGTCATTCAATCATCCAAAACCCACTAAAGGGCTAGATGCACTTTCAGCGCCCCATCGGCAGAAAGCGGAGGCCTGCGTGCTACGCCTAGGGTGTACGCTGGACCGTTGTTCTCGACATCCCCCTAACCCAAGGTTGCTGGCTACCGAAGTTCCCCACCAGGTAGGATGTGGCCACTAGCGACGTTGTGTTTCAAGTGTTTTAGGCGTTTTATACTTATGTTTCAAGTGTTTCCTCTAGATGTTACAAATATAGATCTGTGATGTTTCATATGTTGCAATGACAATATACGCGTGTTTCAAGTCTATGTTTAAAGTGCTGCGGTTGTTTGAGACGCATGTTTTAAGTGTTTTCATCTGCATGTTGCATATATTTTCTATGGCTACACACGCATGTTTCAAGTGTTTGTTTTCATATGTTTTAGATGCTTCCAGATTTATGTTGCAATAGTGGATCTGGATGTTGCATATGATGCTATTGGTATACATGCATGTTTCAAGAGCATATTTCAAATGTTTCATTTGTTTTAGTTGTATGTTGCAAATGTTTAATCTTTATGTTTCAAAACTAGATCGAGTGTTGCAATGCGCACTGGTGGCTGGCGGACCACCGTAGCCGCCTAGTGCTGCTGCCGAGGCCCCTCCGTGGTTCACGTGCGGGCACGCGATGGGCGCAGTAGGCCCTGGTGGTGCTACCAGGGGCGCGCGCCGTGGTTCACGTGCTGACGCAGAGGCGCGGTTCCGGTCGCTGGCGCGCAATGCGGACGGGCGGGCGTCGGGTGTAGGCGCAGAGCTCCATCCGGACATATGCTACCTTCGGAGCGGGATTTGGCGCGGGGCGAAGGGAGTTGTGTGCATCGGGCGCATGTGTGGGAGCTGCGTCCGAACTGACGCCGCGTTCAGGAGCGCTAGTCGTCCCATTCAAAATATATAAAGAAATAACTTGAAAATTTGCAAAGCACCGCACCTCATCCTACTAAAACATATTTTAGCTAAGGGTAGAACAAAAGGCACTCACAGTTTCACCTGCAGGTACAACAAAATAATGCAGGCAGAAAAGAAAACGCCTCATTTATTGCCGTACTAAAAAAACTATGTACAGTAACTGAATTGCTGCTGCCCTGCAAGAAACTGAATGTCCGAATTCCTTGCCTGAAAACCATTGTGATTGTGAGACTTCATGAAGCCAGTGTGGTCCGGGGGCAGTTGTCGACAGAGCAAGCGAGGATGTCCCGGTAGTCCCGCGAGATCGTGAAATGGTCGTACACGTTGCCGTCGCGGCTCTTCTTGTACTCGAACAGCAGGGACGAGTGGTTGAAGGCCGTGAGCTTGACGAACCCGTGGTCGAAGTCGGTGAAGTGGCTCCACTGGATCTTTGAGGCGGTGAATTCAGAAAGGGTGGCTCCTGCGCCGCCGACGACAACGTGCGTCGTCGCCTGGAACGGGCCGCTGTAGTGGTCCGACGCGTCCACGACGCATTGGCTCTGCAGAGATTGAAAGATTACAGTCAGGTATTGCTTCCCTGCAGAATTACAAGCAATTGTGCTGATTGTAAGTGGAAACTGAAGGCACACCTGATAGACTGGGCATGTCCTTTCATAGCTGTGGACGTGTCCATAGAAGGCGAGATCGACCTTGTACTTCTGCCAGAGCTCCTGCAGCGCTTCCCGCCCCATGGGTTCCTCGAACGTGCCCTCTGACTCGTAGTAGGCGCAGGACGAGTAGCCAAGAACACGGTGCGCAAGGAAGATGAGCCATGGCTGCTTCTGCCTGTCAACAGACGACAGGCATTGCTCGATGAACTTGTACTGCTCGGTCCCGGGCCTCCAGTCCTCTTCTGTGTGAGCAATGCAGAACCTAAACATGCCGTAGTCTGTTGCGTACCTGAAGAAGGATCAATGTTCAGTTCAGTAACAAAGTTAAGAAATGGCGTCTGAAGAAACTGCTATGGCCTTAGCTATAGTTACCAGAACTTTGCACGGTTCTCAGCTGGAGTGTAGAACACAGTTTGGGCAGGGACACCGCATTCTCCACCGGAGTCGAGATTCCCGTAGAACGAACCGGTGCCAGGCCAATCCCTCTCATGGTTACCACTGCAGAAATTCCTCTTCTTGTAATACAAGAATACATGGGAGGAACAAAATAAAGTACTGAACTGAGAGACACCCAGCTGACCTTCCAACCATGTACGGCACCTTTGAAGCGATTGGTTCAATCTGTGCAGTGAACTGATCCCATTGAGACAAGTAGCCATTCGCGTAGCAGATGTCCCCAATGTGGACCACCATGTCGATGTTTTCTAGGTCACTGACGATCTGGTAAGTAGTGTTTAGTGAACCTGGCTGGAAGTTGTTGAACTCATTTGAGCCATCTGCCTCTGCCTGTAAAAAGAAAATGTCAGAAGGTTGAGTACATTTGAGAATGAAAATACCAATTTGTTATTTGACTTAAACTAGGATAGACATGGAAGGAAACATGTACCTTTCCCATGTCTCCGAATATGATGACTCGTTGCAAAGAATCTTGTCCAGGGTACGGTGATGCTTTGAAGCTGTATGATTTGCTCCAGACGCGGGTCCCATTCATTAGCCTATGGCCAAGCCTGTAAGTGTACCTGATTTTTTGCAAATTAACATGTTGCTTATTAGCTCACGCTGACTCTGTCACAGTTCCAGAACAGGTTGAACATATGGAAATGTTTAAATAAATAGTCAAATGCAAATGCAATACAGAACCCATACGGTGAGTCTGGCCACAGATCCTTCAGGTAGCTTGTATGAATGTAACCAGGATGGCGCCAACCAACAGTTCGGGCTGGTGCACCTGAGTTTGCAGGTTAGAATTAAAAGACTGATACATTGGCTAGTAAACTGTGAACTGTCAAAAACTTCCTGGTTCATCTCTAGGGAGATTAGGAAAATAATAACTTACCACACATGCTATTTCTGTCAAATGTTAATGTTCCAGCTGGAGCAAGAAACCGGCGTCCTCCTTTCTCGCCCCATTCAACAAAAGGAACTGCTTCTGTAATATCATAGCCACTTGTCCAGGTGACTGTCATCTGCAAAAACAAAGATAACAGAGTCGCATTCTTAGATTGGTGACCACAGTTAATTTATTTCCACAATGTATGTGCTCCTTTGTTGATACAAAGTTGAGCAGAGAGCAGAATACTAAAATAATTTCTTGTAAAAAAACATATACATTGACATTGCACAAGGTTTCGTGTAATCCATGAAACTGAAAGGGTTGTCGCAATTGTGGAATGACAAGAAGGCTTACTTCATTCCAAGACTTCCCTTGTGCCAAACGGGGTACACTGGTGCCTTTGGATTCACAAATGCTACCTTGTTGGAGACAGCAATCAGCTTGGGCTGTTACAGCAGTGGCTTTTTGTTCAGATGGAGAACATGAATGAATGCATCTTCAAAAATTCAGAATTATAGTGGAAAGTAGAGAAGTTCAGAAGATGCTAGTAACTTTTTTGGATTACCTTAAAGAGGCCTCCTGAAAAAAGTGCGAACGAGAAATCTTCCCTCTGGTTGATCAACTGAAGCTTCAGATAGCCCTTTCCAGTCTTGTTATAGCCATCATTTTTGAAGTTTGCAAACTGGTACTGCAATGAACAAATGAAGAAGATATGGGGAGATAAACGAGTCAGGGTTCAAAAATATATGCATTCAGAAAATCTGAAACTTGGCATGCTATTGTACACAAAGTTAAACAGAACAGGGAACATGCTGACCTTGATAGGTGCGGTGCATAGCACTGGAGGATACTGCCTTTTATTCTCAGGCTCACAGATTGCAGCACTGACAATGCCAAAACAAGAAACATCAGACTGAATGTGTGCCCTTTCTTTGCAAAGGAGAATTATGGAGACATTTATCCCCATCTGGTTGAGTGAGTTTGTTGATCTAAAATCAATTAGCTAGACACCAATACTGTTAACTGTTACCTAAAATTCTCAGGAGAGAACACACCGATCCAATCGTCACTGGATGGGTTGGGATGGAAGAACTCCACATCCACCCATTTACTGTTCTCGCCCTGCAGCGCCACATCCACAGGTTCCCCAGACAAACTGTCAGTGAACCGGAAATCGACTCCCAGACGAGTTGCTGTGAGGACTGGAGCTGACCTTGAGCCCAAGAACCAAAGGGGACGCCTTGACGTGCGCCGCATCGTCGACGGCGAGGACCGCCCTCTCGACGGCGATCCTCGACAGCGGCTGCTCCCCCCCGCCGCCTCTGCCAGGGTGCGCCACCACGGCGCTGACGGCCAGCCACGCGGCGGCCGCCCACAGCAGCAGCGGCGCCCTCATGCTGCCCTGACGAACTCCCAGCTGAGAGAGCCTGAAACAAACAGCAGCTGAAATCCCTAACCACTTGTTGTAGCAATCTCCAAGGGGAAAAAAGTTAGCGACTTGATGACGAACAGTGCTGGATTTGCGGATATACCCAATCATGGAGGAGAGCAGGAGCGGAATATTCCCGGAACCAGAGTGGCGTGTGGAACTGAGACCGCCGCCAATGCAGAGTGTTGGCTGCGTCGCGCACATAAAGCTCGCCCGTCGCCATTGACTCTGTCAGTGTCGGTGTCCAGTCATGTGCTCATGATGGTCAAATTCGCGCAATTACAAATACACTGACAGGGGCGCCCGGGCCGTCGCCATGGAGAGCTCTGCTGTCGAGGTAGCCATGCTCCATGTCACGACAAAACAAGAGAATCCCAGACCCTTTCTAGACCAACTAATTGTTGCATAGTCATCTAACTTTTGGTCCTCCTCCTCCCTCCGTCGAAAATGCCCTTAAGTTCTCTATTTATCTTCAAATGAAAAAACTCAAAACTAGAAAGTTGTAGATCTCGTCGAGATCTATAATTTTCATATAAATTTATTTTCATTTAATTTTGTAAAAAATATGATTTGATATGATTAATATATCTTAGAAAAATCATCATATTTTTTTATGGAATTAAATGAAAATAATTTTATATGAAAATTATAGATTTAGATCTACAACTTTCTAGTTTTGAGTTTTTAAAATAAGATGCTCAAAAAAATTAATAACATATTTGAACTTAAGGGCATTTTCGCTTTTTTCACACCAATTAATACTACGAATCTTGAAGTGGCATGGAGGACCCGAAAAAGTTGGAGTAGTAATCAAGACCGCTAAAACACAAGGGGATTTCGATCTTTTATTGGCACAAAAAGTCTCTTTCTAGACCAACTAATTGTTGCATTACATACAAGTTTGACTCGATTTATATAAAATATGTAACATTTGTACCTCTAAATAAATTTATTAAAAAACTAGATTCAAAGATCTTCCAATTATATTAATTATGTACTATAAATATTAATATTTTTTAATATATATTTAATTAAAGTTGTTTTTCGAGAAGCGCAAACGACAAATATTTAGTGATAGACCATATGCGTTTCACGTCGCAAAAGAAAAAAAAGACCGTATGCATTTCAAAAAAAAAATATCAATATAATCATATCATCCTGTTGACACTCAAATTAGGCCCAGATCAATTTTAAGAGGCCCATGATTAGTTTTACCCTAATCTAAATAAATTATATGAAGCGACATAATAATAGTACCACATTGCTTTTCTAACTGGATAAGATCACATCTACTCCCTATAACAAAAGGGTACATGACCAATCGAGATATCAGACATCCAATTAATTTTTTTATATTTATTATAATATAATATAATATAATATAATATAATATAATATAATATAATATAATATAATATAATATAAAATTAATTGGCTGAAAGGAGTAGCTCACCGCAATTTTGTTCTTTTTTTATTCTGAGTCCCTTTCCTCTTCTCGCTTCTTTTGGATCTCTTGTGCAATCCTATGATCCTCCGCTAGAAGGCTTTCATATTTTCTAAAATGAAATACAATAACATTTTTGGTGATGTCTGAAAAATGTTTGTGGTTTCACCAAACAACAAAGAATTAAAAAACCACTAAATGCAAGCTAACACATCTAAGGAATGGAGAAAAATAATTCTTTACACCTCCATAGAGAGGCCCATATAAAATATAAACCCTGTCATATGAATGAACTATCATTATTAGTCACACTGTGCACAAGGACCAAAAAGCCATAAACTCCTATCATAATTATCTGAATTACTTGAAAATCCAAACATTACAAAACTGGATATTAAATTACCTTAAATGAAGCTATGCAGTTTGATTTTGGATCTGCACATAGCAAAGAAAATTAGATCCCCAATCAATTAATGAATTGCAAGATCAAGTCCATCACAAATTCATTGAAGCCATGGGCAATCTTGAGGAAGGAGGAGGGCGTGATCTTCTCTTGGAGGAGGAAGGAGGGCCAGTTGTAACAACTATGGCAGGGAGCTTCTAACCATCATATAACCAAAAGTTGCTGGAAAGCGGTCTTCCAGGCTATATCGCGACTCGGGCGGCGCCTATCGCCACCGCCACTAGGCCCACCGGCCACGTGCGCTCCACCGCCTGGCCGTCGTCGGAGCTCGATGCCAGAGGCCGGTGGAGAGCAAGGACGGTGGCGGCTGGGTCTCTCTCTCCCTCTCCGCCTCTCTCTCCCGGAGGAACTCCTGTGAGATGCAGCCGCCGGCGACCGGCTCCAGCCTCCAGCTCGGCCGGATCCAAAGACGCCTTGTCCTGATCTACGTCGGGGAGGTTGTCTGCGTGCCTGTGCCTGTGCCTGCCGGCGCGCGTGGATCGGCGTCGGGGAGGGTGCTTGCGTTCCTGTGCCTACCGGGGCGGCGGGTCTAGCTCGGCTGTTCCCGTCCATGGTCGTTGGAAGCTGGAGAGCGCGCCCTCGGCCTTGTACCGTGTCCTGCCGCTTGGCGTGGTTGGAGCGGCGCGCTCGGCGGAGGTGGATGTGGCTGCTGCTCGCCGTCGACTACGGGCGCGGCCTCTGTGATTGGCTCAGGGGGCGGCGGATTTGGTTCTCCGGCGGCCGGATGTGGTCCTCATCTTGCGCTGGATCTGAGCGCGTTCGGCAGCGGTGGTCCTCGCCCCGCAGGGTCTCGCAGCGGCGGTGGTGGCAGCTCGTAACCACCGGCGAGGGCGGCCGGCAATGACATTGGATCATATAAAGAGTAACACATAGGTAGAGAACGTACGTGTGAAACATAGGGTATAAGGGATTAAAAGTATGTATAGAAGCTAAAAAGAATTAAAAAGAATTATATTTATTATTGCTCTAGCTGATGTGTGACTAATCTGTTAACACATCCTTTTTAATTCTTTTTGGCTTCTATACATACTTTTAACCCCTTATACTCTATCTTTCACACATATGTTCTCACCTATGTGTCGCAGTTGTGGTCGGCATACCTGGTTTCCCGACAAACCGGTACCTCTCTTTAGTGCGTTTCTCTTCCACACAAGGTGCTTCCACATACGAGAGAAATACTCCTAGTCCATATCCGGTCCAACTGGTGTGTGGGTGGTGGGTGGTTTGGATGGTAGCAATTCACACACGAGCAGCAGTTTAAATTCCCCTCCTCCCTGTCTGGTCCAACTAGCAATTCACACATGAGCAGCATTTTAAATTCCCCTCCTCCCTGTTCATCTTCCTATTTGCGACAACAGCCTTTGTGAAGCGATAACAGCTCCTTCTCCTCTCGCCGTTCAGCACTCCTTCTCCTCCTCTCTTCTCAGCACCAGCTCTCGCCGCTCGTGATGGACACCGTCGACGTCGCCGATCCTCTTCCAGCTCTCGCAGCTTAGCCGATCGCGAGGACCGTGCCACCGTCGTCGTCGGCGATCCCACCGTCGACATCGCCGAGTTGGCCGATCCTGCTGCTCCAAGCGTCGCCAAGCAGCAGTACCGCCGTCGTCGTAGGTCTCTCTCCCCCACCGCCGTCGTCGATCCAGCAGCTCTCTTTGGGCTTCTGAGCTACGCGTGGCCGCCTGGAACACCCAGCTGCTGACGGTGACTGTTGTGGTACTCCCGGTGGCGCTTATAGCCGCTCTGAAGAAGCGCCTCTACCTATGCTCTCTGCGCCAAGCTGGCACCGGTCTGCTCGTCATCGCCATCTTGACGCGGTCTGGCCGCTGTGCCCTCCGCTGCCGTCGTGACATGCATCATGACCGACATCTGGATGGGCTTCCGGGCACCAGCTGAAGGGGGAGCAGTTGAAGATTCGCTGGATGGGCTTCTGGGCACTAGAAGGGGGAGCAGCTGAAGATTCACTGGTTTAGGGAGAGCACAGCTGAAGAAGATTCACTGGTTGGTTTAGTGAACAAGGATTAGATGGTGTGTAGGGGTGTTTATTAGTCTGAACAACCCGTGATCCTTTCATTTGTCTTCAGTAGTTGTTTAACCGAATTGGTAAACGACCATGGTTTTTAAATATTAGTGATAGATTAGAAATTATACAAGATTCGGTCTCGACTCATAAATCGGGGAGAATACATGTTGGGAACTCTTCTAGAAAGGACGGAATAAGAATTTTTAGCTCTTTAGTGCTAATTAAAGCATACTCACAATGTACAAGCTCCTACACATGCTTCACTGCCATAACCATAGTTTGGTAAAAATGGCGAGGAAACATTCACCAGTACGCAACACCAACTAACCACGCTTAACTTCTATTAGGAAGATTAGAATCCCTAATAACAGACTAACAGTACAGCAACAATAACAGGTATCAGAAGCCACCGTAGCTTTTTCCAATGCTACTCCATATACATGCATGCATGGATAAAACAAAAGCAAGCACACTTCCAAGTTCCAATACTGCCAGGTACTAGTTTAGGATGAGTGGATGGACATAGATGATTTTGGGCAAGTCTATTAATAAGGAAGTTACAATTTATTTAGCCAAATTCATCCACCTTCCTTCCAATGAGCATCTCCGTCCTTCAGATAAATGAAACCAACTGAAATATGTGACACTTGCATGATGCAAGTTTCGCATATATAGATCGAGGGGACGGACCTTGCTTGTGTCTGCTTTCACTTTCTATTTCTACTAGAGCCACCGTACCTGCAGCTTGAGCTAGCTTGAGGCTCCTGTAACCAAGTGTCCCATGCAGACCGGCACAGGATACTGATGTTGTGTGCCACCTTCGCCACCGCAGCGTTTAATTTGCCATGGCAGCCACGGAAACACTGGTTTCTTCTCCTTGTGCCTCGAAAAATGCCAAGCTGTCATCGTACCAGTTGTTGATCATGTTATTGAGAGTGGCACCCACTTGCTGATCCGTGATCCCGTCCTCCTTGTAACAGCAACAAGCTTGTCTGGTACACCTGGTCGAACCTTGGCGCCTCGAAGAGTAGCATCACCAG